ACAGACGGACTCCTACCGCTCCTGCCTAGGCACTACTGCTGCCTGCACGCGCATGCGCTTACCAGCGCTATGCGGGGTACGAAGGATCGAGATACAGGTTGACTAATCCGGGATCCGGTTCCGGGATCCGGATCGGGTCGATCATGTCGGATCATCCCGTCCGAAGAGCTGTGCCGACTGTATATTGAATACAGTGCGCCAGCCACCACTCGCCGCACCACCACTCGGCATTAAGATGGCTCCAGATTCCTGGCCGCCGCTGCTGCCGTACAGTTTCTATTTCCATCAACGAACAACAAACAGCGAAACACGCTCGAAGCGCGCGCGCGCACGTCAGTAACACGTGCGCGTCTCGCTCTCTAGCTCTCTGCTCTCTCTCTCTTCTCTCTCTCTACCTCTCTCGTCTCTCGTCTCGGTCGTCCTCTCAGTCTCTCTCTCTCTCTCTCTCTTCTCGCTCCTCTCGCTCTCTCTCTCTTTCTCTCTTCTCTTCTGCCGCGGCTCGTCATGTTGTTGAAGCGCATTGCGCTCTCTCTTCTCTCTCTCTCTCTTTTCTCACTCCTCTCTCTCTTCTCTCTCTCTACTCGCGTCTCTCTCTCTCTCTCCTCCTCTTTCTCTCTCTTTCCCTCTCTCCTCTCTCTCGTCTCATCTTCCCTCTTCCGCCTTCCTGCCCGCACAGCTGTGCCGGTCACGTGACCGACGGGATTTCGCGTGCAGGACAGAGAGGGAAGAGACAGAGGATCTCGTGTGGTGTGGTAGCTTGTACAGGTCGTTATCTCTGGACAGCATCAATTGGTTTGCGATACCTGGGGAAGACAGCCAGAATTAAACATGCAGCAACTCTATCTAACCGCATGCGCTCACTAGCATTAGTTAAAAATGAAAAAAATGTGTGTGTTGTGTGTGTGTGTGTGTGAGAGAGAGTGTGTGTGTGTGTGTTGTGTGTGTGTGTGTGTGTGTGTGTTGTGTGTGTGTGTATTCTGTGTGTGTGTGTGTGTGTGTGTGTCGTGTGTGTGTGCGTGTGTGCGTGTGTATGTGTGTATGTGTGTGTGTGTAACGTGTGTGTATGGTGTGGTGTTGTGTGTGTGGATGTGTGTGTGTATGTGTGTGTGTGTGTGTAAGTGTGTGTTTGTGTGTGTGTGTGTGTGTATGTGTGGTGTGTGTGTGCGTCGTGTGTGTGTGGTGTGTATGTGTGTGTGTGTGTGTGTGTATGTGTGGTGTGTGTGTGTAGTGTGTGTGTGTGTGTGTGTGTGTGTGTGTTGTGTGTGTGTGTGTGTGTGTGTACTGTATAATGGGAGCTGGTGGGAACAGCTGGCCGCTTGCTTACAGCTTCAAGCTCTAATTCTCTTACGGAGAGCTTCCACGCCCTGCTCAGTGAACGAGATATTATTATATACGCACCATCGCCGAAGCTACCGCGGGCCATTCATGGCCGCAGAAAATACCTTTCGCTGTTTTTCAATTATCCTATCGCGCCTTGCTTTCTCATTCTTGCTATTTTTCCCATTCTCTCTTTCTCTCACGCACACACATACGCACACGCACACACAACACACGCACACACATACGCACACACACACCACACACACACACACACACACAACACACACACACACACAGAGACAGACCACACACACAGAGACACACACACACACACACACACACACAACACCACACCACACAACAGAAAGCACACACACACCATTCTCTCTACATTCCCACCTCTCTCTCCCTCTCTTACTCGTACACACATTCTATCGTCCCCCTTCTCTCTCTCTCCTCTCCCCCTCTCTTTGCGCGGGGATGTGTGGGATGAGGTGTGAAAGGAAGCCGAGGCGATCGTACAGTAAAACTCTCCGCTAGCTAGCACAGAGTCTCTCGTTATAGCTCGCACTGAAGCTCTAAAAAAACGTGACCTTGCTCTCTTAGATGAAGAGAAAAATGCGATAGAAAAACATGTATTATGGCTACACTAGCGTTTGCAGTCTTCAGGGCATGTATTCGTGATAGACAGATACACGGAAAGCGGCTGAGTAACATGAGGTAGATATAAGAATGAATGAGAAGAGATAGATATAAGAATACATGACACAAGTCACCCCAACCCCCGTATCATTGGCTTCATGACTAAGGAAAGTAAGGGTCGAGTTTCATTCTAAAACTAGGGGGATGCATTCTGGTAAAGAGCGCTGCCATGGTTACGCGTAGCAACGTTAATTGCACGTCACTATAACTGTGTGCATCTACGTCACTATGAATGTGTGCAACTACGTCATTGTAAATGTGTGCATCGACGTCACTATAAATGTGTGCAACTACGTCACTATAAATGTGTGCATCAACGTCACTATAAATGTGTGCATCAACGTCACTATAAATGTGTGCAACTACGTCATTATAAATGTGTGCATCGACGTCACTATAAATGTGTGCAACTACGTCACTATAAATGTGTACATCAACGTCACTATAAATGTGTGCAACTACGTCACTATAAAATTGTGTGTGCACAACGTCACTATAAATGTGTGCATCTACGCCATTATAAAATTTAATGTATGTGCATCCAGATCACCCCAACCCGGTATTAATAAAAAATAGAACATTAAGCAGTCACATTCATGTAAGATTGCGTCTGTAAAGTTGGTCACGTGGTATCAGACGCGGACGCGAGGGGTTCTGGAAAACAGGAACGACAGACGGAAAACCGGAAGATAACCGAACGATGTTATTTTGACAAAATGTCGCCATCGCCTGATGATTGATGCTCACATTCCAACGAAAAAATATTTAATATGATGTCAGAATATTAATTACAGACAGTTAATGCGATAACTAACCATACTAATAATTGTCTGATTCTTAATGAATTAATTACCTACCGATGTTACTTTTGTTGTAGAGTGACGGTAAATAAAACTATCTAGTGATATTACTGGAATCTAACTGAATCTGAACTAAATAACTGAATTTAATTACTGGAAATAAACTGTGAAAAATAATATGACTATGAGTACAATCATGAGCTAATAATAGCTAATACCTAATAGGTATTATGAAGAGTCCATGATATAGACTCTCTTATATAAGAGAGTCTCTATTATTCTCTTGGTATTATTAGCACTTGATGCAATCTTCAGACACAACCCCCCAGCCAGGTCTTGCAATAACCATCCATGTCATCTACGCTGTGATATTATTCACATAACTTAAATATATAACGCAAACTTAGTTAAGATGTGAAATAATATCATATAAAAACACAATAAAATAAAACATGTTTAAGATATATAACGCAAACAGGCCACACGTGTTAGCCACTTGTTTTTATCTGTGAAGGTGTTCATCGGGAGCCCGTCAGAGGGCGAGCTGCACCGCGGTGACGTCATCGTTTCCGTGCAGGGTGTGGCGGCGGCCAACCTCAAACATCACGAAGCAGACGAACTGATCAGACGTGCTGGCAGCACACTGTCACTGCGCGTGCGCAGGTGTGT